GGATGTGCGACGGAAATTTCCGTCGCAAATACTAATTTCATTTATTTTGTTATTTTCGATGAAAATTTTCAAATTTTCGCTGTTTTTATTTCGTTTTGCGACGGAAATTTCCGTCGCAAATACTAATTTCATTTATTTCGTTATTTTCGATGAAATGTATGTATGTATGTATGTATGTATGTATGTATGTATGTATGTATGTATGTATGTGTGTGTGTGAATGTGTATATATATGTGTGAATGTATATGTGTGTGTTTATATATGTGTATAAGTGAATGTGTATATATGTGTGAATGTGTATGTGTGTGTTTATGTATGTGTATGTGTATATATGTGAATGTGAATATGTATGTGTATGTATATATGATTGTATGTGTATATGAATATATGTGTATATGTGTGTGTTTATGTGTATGTGTATGTGTTTGTGAAATGTATATGTGTATGAGTATTTATGTATGTGTATATGTGTATATGTGTGAATGTGTATGTGTGTTTGTGTATATATGAGTATGTGTATATGAAAATATATGTGTATATATATGTATGTATGTGTATATATATTTGTATGTGTGTAATGTTTGTGTATGAATGTATGTGTATATAGGTGTATGTGTATGTGAAAATGTATATATGTACGTGTATATATAGTATATAATTTGTTTATATTTTAAAAAAAAAATTTTTAAACATTTGCGACGGAATGCGACGGAAAAAATTCCGTCGCAATTTGCGACGGAATTATCTGTCACTTTCCGTCGCAAAACGCAGATTTCTTCCGTCGTAAAAATACGACGGATTAACGACCGTTATACGTTTGCAACAGTGCTATAGCGACGGAAATAAGTCCGTCGCATTCCGTCGCAAATTCTTAATTGCGACGGATTTCCTTTGTATCTGCGACGGATTTTTCCGTCGTTATATAACTGTTTTTTTGTAGTGAATGATAAAGAATATTTTTGTTATTCAAAATATTACATAACCACATATATATTATTCCTAAGAACATTCCAATACATAATAATAACTTAGTCTAAAATAGAATAAATAGTTTGTAAAATTCAAGGAACAAAATCTTCTTAACACGTCATGTTCTTCGAATACTTGGTGTGATATTATTTCACACTACGCTATTGTTTTTGTTTAATAAATAGTATATTATATTGCATCACTTAGAGTACATTATTTTCACGAATGGATAAGAGACGTCGATTTCGTATGCGATGAAATAAACATTCATCGGTTGTGTCATATTCTCTCGCTTGGGATTTTTGGAGCAACGAAACACGTTATGGATATTCTCCTCAAAGGCCGTAAGACGATATAACAGATATACAAATATATATATGTATATAATTATTACTCATAAAATGTTATCAAAAAAAATATTATTCATAAAACTAACTAATATTTTGTCTAACTTCAAATTATAACCAAAGATTGAGTGTTCAATCAGTAAAAAAGAGAGAGCAAAGCTCTTTCCCAAACAGGGTTCGAGTCCTTGTTTGGGAAATTACATTATGGATTTATCTAGTATTCTGAAACATGTAGTCGGGTTAAATACGCAGTTCATTTTGAGCTCAATCATCTGATTCATTTTCAAACGAGACAGAAAAAATGTTGGATCAACTCGGTTAGTCAAATTTTTGAACTAAACGAGTCGTTTCGTAAACCAAAAATAAATATAATATCATTTATTTCTATTATAAAAAATATAAAATAAAATGATGTTTTAATTTAAATATTTAAATATTAAATTTAAATACATAAAAGAAATTATATATCTATAATTAATAAAAAATAAAATTAAGTATTAATTTTCTATTATATATATAATACAAATAAAAATAAAAGAATATATAATTTTAAAAAAAGTTAACTCAATTCGCCAGTTTGTTTTCAAACGATAGCTCAATTCGCTAAATATATATATATATATATATATATATAGATAGATAGATTCAAGCACATCAAAACGAACCAAAACATCAATCGATGGAATGTAAATGAACATCAAACAATATTCAGTAGAATTCCAAACAATCTGAAGAACATGAGACAAACGCCACAAAACACAACAACGAATGGGGAGAAGACAAAAACCAAACTAATGTATGATCTAACTGCTGTTACTCCCAATGAAACGGGAATGTCTGTGAAGCAGATACAGATTCATTCCCCGACCCGTCAGAGCCTGCAGCCGCCGCCGCGGCAGCAGCAGGGTTCTCGAAAATTCCCGAGCCGCCGAATAAAATGTTATCCATCGGCTCAGAGGTCAAGAACGGCAACGGCTGAACCACAAGAGGGACTGATCTCGGCTGCTGCTGAACGTTTTCGTGAGTGCGGTGACCTAGGCGGGCGAGGTCGGGAGATAGCGTCTGGTGCGAGGAAGAGGATGACAGAAGAGAGAGAGCACAATCCGAGTCACGGATGCAACTCGTCAATCTCTCACACAACATAGTTGTCCGGTTATGGCTGCTGCTGCTGCTGCTTAGGTTATCGTGTCCTTGCAAGAACGGGAATCGCTTCTCTGATGCTTTGTAGCTGCTGCTCGGGGACGAGATCGGGAATATTATGCCTGGCTTTGCAGCGGAAGGAACGCTCGGGTGATTCCCGTAACCCGAACTGTTGGCCACAGCGCCTAAAACGCCGCTACCGCTCCAGTTAGGACTTGCTACTGATGAAGTTGGGAACATATGTGAGCTAGAGAACTGCAGAAACTTGGTACCTGAAACAACGAATCGGTAACTCAACGGAAAATCCAAGAAATTACTATTCAAAAAATCTTAACATGGTATCGAATACATTCATATTATCGATGGAAAATCCAAGAGATTATTTAAAGATCTTGGCATGTTATCAGAGCCTAATGTTTTCTGAATCCTCTCCTAGCAATGACTGATGCGTCAAGAAGCTAGCTGGGAAACCGGGTTTCATTTTTACCTTGGAAACTCGTCAAGAAACTCGTGGGACGGGCAACGGGGTCGGGCTGAGGCTTCCTTCTTCTACGGTTATGCCCGTCAAGGCGTTTCCTACAGCTCCTCTTCCCTTCATCAAACTCTTCAAGGGAATGAAACCTACATACCGAAAAGCATTGCGAGTTATCCATATGCAATTGAATTCGACACAAGTTCATCTAATCGTACTAAGAACTCGACAACTTAAGAGAAACCGCATTCCGAAATCATGTCAAAACCTGCTACATTGTTGGCAAAACCTCTGTTTCAGACCATTGATCGTAACCACGGGAGTCTTGGAATGAACCTCGCAGACCTTATGCCTCCTATGATACTCCCTGCAGTTACTAAGGTCAGAATCGCAGCCGTCCACGAGGCAGAACGGCGTCTGATTCCCGTTGCCGTTACCGCTCCCTCGCGCCCTCTTCAACGATCCCGAACTCATCGAAGACTCTGCTTTCGCCACTGCGCTGCCCATCAATGGCACTGTGCTGTCATAACCTGAAGCTGAAACAGAGAAGTTTCCTACATTTCCAAGTTTCAGATCAAACGAGAACTCTCCTCTCCTCTGCGACCCGAACGAGATGGATTCGCCGAGTTGCGGCACATCGGGGACGGGTTCTTGATCGAATTCGGATAGATAACCGGAGCTTGGCTTGTTGAAGTTCCAATCCATTCAACTCTGCCTTCTCTCTCCTCTGTCTCTTCAGACCTTCGCTACAGCTTCCTCACAATGAACAAACAAACAAAGATTTCAAGATTCTTCCTTTTCGAATTCGGTAATCACAGGGACACCAAAGACAACAGCAGGATGTGACCCATGAATCAAAAAACCGATTGGACAAAAGATTTCAGGACTAAATCCCTGTCCGGAGCTGAAAAATCACAACTTTGACGCTTGGTAAGAAGAAACACGGATGTAGTTGGAGAGTACAAAGCAGACTTATACTACAAAAACCTTACATGAAACACAAACTGGTAACCGGAGAATTCAATGGAAGAGGATAAATACAAAAGCTATATATATATGGTTTCACTGAATAAATACTAAAACGGTTGGGTGCAAGGAGCAGCAGAACCAGAAAGGATCCTGCAAGATTGGAGGAAGAAACAAAAGAACAAGGAAAAAGACTACACCAAGGAAAAAGAGCAAGCAAGAAACACAGGAAATATAAAAGCAATAAATACAACTTGCAGTTTTGGGTTCATAAAAAGAAGCAATTACTCTTTGGCTCTCACTCCATTTCACAAAAAAAAAAAAAAAACTTACCCTCATGGCATAGTAACACAAGAAAGACTCATGAGTACAAGAAATCAATAGAAACTATGTATGAATTTATAAGAAGAAAAAAAGTTATGGAAGGATAAGGGAGTTCACCAATAAATCTCATGCGCCTATGCAGCAGAAGAAGCTACTCCACAAGAAAAAGGCAAATTAATACCAAAAAAAAAAGTACACATCAACAAGGGGAGGAGGAAAAGGGAAATGGGTCAAGGGAAAGATGACAGTGTGGTTACTGCAAGGTGACTCAGAGAGAGAGAGAGAGAGAGAGAGAGAGAGATGGTGATAATGATGTTTCTAAGTAGAGAAATGGTTTGATTAGTTTAATAGTTTCTTGTTTTCCAAATTTAGGGTTTGGTTGATATCTTTTTAGAGAGAGAGAGAGTGGAGAAAGGGACAGCTGTGTTGTTGTGTTTTTGTGTTCCTGCGTAACTTTTGTTTTTTTTTTTCACCTTGTGTCTGGCTATTTCGGTGAACATTTATTTATTTTTTTAATTAAATTTTTTATAAGCACGTCATCATCACAATAATAATTATTAATTTGGTGTAGGATGATTTGGGCCAACAAGGCATGTGAGTGTTGTGTTTCACATTCCACAACATACCTTCCCCTCTCTCTCTCTCTCTCTCTCTCTCTCTCTCTCTAAAGCACCCTTTATTTGACCCAACAAAACAAGTGATTTTTGTTTTCTCGCAAAGAAAATATATTATTATTTTCCTTTTTTCATAAATTATATATGGATATATTCAGAAAAAAAATAAAAATAAAGAAATTCGTTAAATTTTAAGATTATGGTGAAAACATTTGCCAATACAACAATATGAAGTTAGAACTTAAAAGAGATAAATTTGATATTTCTAAGACTCTGTTTTTATCATCAATTATTGCATTATAAATATATATATATATATATATATATATATCAAATGATTTATATATCTATAACACACGATTAACAATTAAAATAAATAATTAAGATATCAATTTGTCCTTGACATAAGGTTGCGTTGAAGGATTCATTACGGAAATTAAAATCAAAATTTTATATAATTTTTTTTTATCGAATTTCAAATTGAATTCAAACACACACACACACACGAGGAGAGGATATCACTTGGCCATTTTCAAAATCTTATTATTGAAACTTGCGACGACCCTATTTATGAAATTTTTATTTGAAGTGGCAATAAATTCAATATTAAATATATGGAAGGACACATCCAAGTGGTTACCAGGCTTTTCCTGTAAAAAGGTAAACTTTTTATATTTATTTATTGAATATTATGATGGTAATATTTTATTGTTTATAGTCATACAATTGTATTTTACATTATTAAAATTTCTTTTTATTCAAAAAAAAAGTTTAGATGATTGTAGAATCATATGTAACCATAAAATGACACCGGAATTGGGTGCCTACGAAAAAATAATAAAATGGGTTGGAATTTCAACCAAAAAAATTAGATAACTAATTTTTAGTTTATTTAAATTATATTCTCAAACCAAATAGTCCTGTGATCACGTCCCAGATTTATAAGAATTATATAAATTTTGGGTTTAAATAATATAAAAATTATTAGGATTATAACAGAGAAGAATTCAACTGATATGGTAAAACCGTAAAAGAGATGATTAGTAAATTGTCTTTAAAACCCCTAATAATATGTATTTACTATCTGAATAAATAAGAATTTCAATTTAACAAAACAAAGAAAAAAACAAAGTCCTGTCTATTTATTTATGTTTTTGGACTTTTGAATATTTATGAAAATTGAAGGTATAATAATAATAATAATAATAAATGTGGCAGTGGTTGTTTAATTTTCTATAAAGTTTTTCATAATATATGATCAATCATCATACTCCAAATTTATAAAAGGAAATATGTCTGGCTACATTAGAAATAGAAATTTTCGACAAAATTACGCTCTTTATAGACCAAAGAAAAATATTTTTGGATCTGAAAAGATATAAAAACAACGCAAAAATAATGAAGAAGTTTGAAAGTAGAAATTGTCGCTATATAATTTATTTTCATAAATTCCACAAAAATTGTAATTTAGTTTTTTCAGTCAACTGTTATATGGTTTGAGCACATAAATCCAAAGGTCGACTAAATTTATTACCGCGCGGTCCACGACACCAATATAATAATTATAGCAAGAAATTTGGATGAGTGACCCACAAAGAAAATTCGAATGAAAAAGGTTATAGTTATTTTCATTTTAGTTACTCGAACTTTGTTTTAATTATTAGATATTTTTAGTTTTATTTTGATTATTTTTATATTAAAGTAATTTAAAACATATTATATATTCATCGAATATGAATTTGAATTCAAATTCAATTAATTTATTTTAAAATTTATGTTAATTGAATACGAACTTATGTATCATATTTAAATATAACAGTTAACCAAAAAATATATAACTAACTATTACTGTTATCGACTTTATACAATTTTTATATATCGAAAATAAATTAGTTATATGTAAATTACAATAAAAAAAATACTCATAAAAACTTCTATATATACCGAAAAAATTTAATATTCATAAATTTATAAGATAATACTAAGATAAATCTACACGTTAAAATTTTATAAAATAATATATATATATATATATATATATTGTGTAATTAATTTAAGCTCGAATTAAAATTAAGACCGTCACAAAACTATTGCTAAATGATTATGTATAAATCTGGTTCGCAATTGTAAAACAATATGTGAGACTGACATAGATAATACCTAAATATTTATATAAACTATATTAATCATAACGTACACATATATTCTAAAGTAGAAATATAGTTTAAACACGGAAATATTGCTTCAATATATATTTATATGATTGTATTAAAGTTTAAAATAAATCATCAAATGAAATTTATATTTCCTAATAAATCCAATCAAACAAAATTAAATAATTTTAATAAAGAATAAATAATACTTGCAACAATGTTTTTTTTCTTCTAAATCCATCTTATACAAGATACAAGAAATTAGTTAACCTACGAAATTGAGGTTGAAAATAAGAAGAAAATATCTCTATCAGTCTAAATCTCTAACCATATAATTCATTTCTCTAAAAGATTATATTTTTTTCAAAAAAGATTGCATTAATTTATTTAAAAAAAAATAAGAAAAATAATATTTTTCTACACAAATTTAAACCCTTTAATATACGTATTTTTTATTTGACAAAAAACTACATTTTAATTCAAAATTTTCTAAATATCTACACAAATTGCTAAAATTAACAGTAATTACATGCATAATCATTATTTTTCGTTAAAATTTTTCGGATTCTGTTAACTAATGCATTAGTTAGACAATTACTATAACTACCATAGACTTCAGTACATTAATTAACAGAATCCGAACAAATTTAACGAAAATGATTATTATATATCTAATTATTATTAATTTTAACAATTCATATAAATATTTAGAAAATTTTAAATTTAAATATAATTTATTGTCGAATTGTATAAAAATATTAAATTCGTATAGAAAAATGTTATTTTTCAACAAAAAAAAAATACAGAGTAAACATCAAAGTTGCATACTGGTTCAAAAGAAAGCCACCTGTCTCCAATAGCAATTATATAAATGGTCTACCCCTTGTGTGGTCCATCTCTGTGTGTATATATATATATATATATTATGGTCTAATGCAACCTTAAATTCGTTCGTGTGGTCCATATTCTTGAATGGCTTAGTGCACCAATCATTATTAGTTCCTAATTATTCCTAGTCACCTGTTGTTAATAATTTATAATTACCTATTTAGTACAATTTATTGACATCGATAACTTATTATATATATATATATATATATATATATATATATTAAATAGAGGTCGCTTGGGATAATTTTTGAACTTGCTATTCTAGTAAAAGCATTTAGGAGGACATGATCACATCTTTAAAGGTTCAAAGGATATTATATAATATTAAATTTTGAACTATTGAAAATTTGTATTTTGAAGGCGTGGATATTTACAGAAAAGGAAGCTTTTCATCAATTTTTATCATAGCTATTAACGTTATTAAATTGAAAATTTTGGAAGGTTTTGTTTTTGTCAAATCATAAATTCATAATCATCATTATGTTTTTCTAAAGATGGGTAATTGGAGTTTTAGGATCCAAGCGAAACTAAGCCCATCAAGATTCCCAACCCTCAATGATAAACTAAGTCAAAGAATCCATCTAACATTAAATATATATATATATATATGGCATCTACTTTAAAAATATCTCCCACTATTTGTAATCAAACCCTAAATTTTAGAACCAGTTTCCCTAAAACATGTTCTTTTACATTTGTATATATATTTCCTTTTATCGTAGTATTTCAAGGAAATCAAATGAAATTTTTTCACGATTTTGGAGCCAATTGAACCAACAATCATTGAAAGAAAGTACGAAAATTCTTGAGTTATATATTAATAATTTTTTACGCTACTACCAAAAAAAAAGGAAAACAAAATATACGCATGGATAATTATGTCTTATTGAGAATACTAATAATCCGATTAAAAAACAAACAAAAAATAAATAATTGAATTGTATTTAGGCCATACAAACGAATATTGATGTTAGATAAATTAATTTAAATAATTAAGATTAATCTTATAAAATCTAATATTACTCATCTAAATTTATGCGATACATACATATATGTGAATATTATTTTATATTATATATTTTCAATATGATAGGAGATGGCAAAATGAGTTCGGCTCGTGAGCTGGCTCGCGGTTGGTTCGTTTTTTATCGAGTTGGGTTGAAAAAATAAAAGACCAAATAAAAACGGGCCGAACGAGCCAGTTCACGACGAGTCTAAGCTCATCTGGACTAACTCAATCGGCTCCCGAGCTGGCTCACGAGCTGACATTAAAAAAAATCACGAGCTGACATTAAAAAAATATTAGGGTTTCATACTTTAGTTTCTTCACTTCTTCAGTTTATATAGCAAATTAGAATTTATGATATCTTGATGTTGGTGTCTATTTTTTGTTATATTTTAATGTTGTTGGTGTATAGCACGTTTTATGTTGATGTTAATGTATATTTTTTGTTATATTTTGATGTTGTTGGTGTATTACATTTTTTATGTTGGTTTGATTTTGTTAATTTTTCTTAATTTAGATATAGTTTTATAGATTGTTATGTTAAATATTTTATATTACGATTGAATGACTTCAAAATATTGTTTTGTATTCTTTAAATTATTAATTTTTATGTAATTTTTTAAAAAATTGGATAATTAGATAAAAACGAGTTGACTCGGAGCTCGGACAATTTGGTTTGGGTCAGAGTTTTTCTAGCTCGTAAAAAAATGGGCCGCCCGGGCTGAACCAAAAATGAGCTGGTTCGAGACGAGCCGGTCCGGACCGGTCCGAGTCAGCCCGATTTACATCACTAGACTATTCGGGTTTCAATTTGGATTCGGTTTGGATATATTCGGATTCAATTCTTTCGGTTTTAAAAAATTATAACCGTTCATTTTTATATTGAATTTGGCTCGGTTTAGTTTGAAAATATTTAATTCGGGTTATATTCTATTATAACAAAAATACTCATTTCTTAAAAAAAAATTATAGATTTTTCGGTTATTTTTTACTTCATTCGATTCGTATTCAGATTCAATTTTAAAAATGATAACCATTAGATTTTTTTATCAAATTCAATTCGATTACAATTATATCTTATCCTATTCGAATAAATTCAGTTATTGGCTTATAAACCAAAACAAGCCACCCATTATACCTTGGGTTTGGGCTAATGATGATATTTCTCAACATTGAGGGTTATATTTATAAAAAGAGAAAAAAATGAGGGGATTCTGTCTAAACGTTGTATGCTGAGGGTTATAATTGTAATTTCTCGGAAACAAGAGGCCTTTTTCTTTAAAAGAAATTCTGCGACTAACTTTGGAGTTGGAGTGGGCAGTGCGTCAGTGTCACGAGGACCAATCAGTCATTTTAATAAATCCCTGATATAAGACCGACACGTGTCCCTTTCCCACGCCAGTCAGATTCTTTCCGGGCCTAATTGAAGTCTACGTGGGCCCGACGCTATATTTAAGATCTCGTTGTCGGCACCTTTTACTGGAATAAAAATAAATAAAATAAATTCTAAAATTTGAAACTTAGATTTTAAGATTTATTATGTGGAATATATGATTTTGAATTTAAGATTGATTTAAAATTTAGTATTTGATATTTAATTTAAAATTTAGGATTATAAATTAGATATAGTAAAATAATAAGAAACCATAGAATTAAAATTATCAAATGTTCAAACGTAATTAATAGAAAATTAGGCTAAACTTATAGGATGATGTAAAAATTAATGAAAAAAGCATCTATTTTCTTTGTGTATTAAAGTGTTACACAAAATTATCAGTCAATTAAAATGTATTATTTTTAGACCATAGAAATTTATACTACTCAACAGTTGGAAACTATATATATCTAAATGAAGGGATAATATATAAGTAAAAATTAAATTTATGAGATAAAATCATAAAAAATTACGAAATATTAACATATATTATTAGTTGTGGAGTACAAATTCTGTTGTTTTTTTTTTAATTTCCAAAAGTTCAAACGTAATAATATGTCTCTAGTTAGAATACATTTTTGTTGTTTAGTAGTAATTAGTTTAGTCGTCAAAATTTATATGCCGTAACAGAAATTACTAATTTAATGAATATATCGAATTAAATAATAACATGGTTTTGATTTTAAAAATAAAATAAAATAAAAAACCGTATGTGATTTCACTTTATTTCATTTTTAATTATTTTATTTTTTCTATTATATTGGAATTTCTAATATTTATATGCATATTACAATTTTTATATATTTTAACTATAGTTTGTATATAATTTTTAGTATATTTTTGTGAAAATTTGTTTTAAAATTTAGATTCAGTTATGTGTCAATATCCGAAAATTATCTCGCATACTCGATTTTCGAGTACTTAAACAAAACGAATACAAGTTTGGATAGTATTTTATGAAAAGTTCAGATTTAGATTCGATTTCTGAGTAACTCTAAAATTCCGGGTACCCAATATGTAGCCAATCCTAATGAGTATATTTGATCTCGGTCAAGTAAACATGTTTTATGATGAAAAACGGTGCATAGTCACTAGGAATATATATATATATATATATATATATATATGATTATTATATATGCAAATGGAAATATATTACATAAAGAAGTATTCATTGAGGGGGAGGAACCGAAACATACACGTCCAAACAATCGTAGAGTAAGCAAAACTTCTTTTTTTTTTATAACGGAGGATCCCTATCTGCTACCCTTCGGGCGTGCTGATTAGGTAAACTTCTGGCTCGGGAGCCGCCTTTGTATATGGATCATATAAACCTAGAAATCACCTCCATCCCACCAGTTAGGAATCGAACACTCAATCTCAAGGTAAAGTTATCTTCTACTCCAACATTGACCACTCGTTCACGATCGTCCACGATCTGTTGGGTAGGGTAAGCAAAACTTATTTGGACTTCATTGGTTTTGATCTAAATATTTAAAACATAACCAAACTTATAATAACTATTTGGATCAAATCTTATCTACATTTATATACGATAGGAAAACTTAATTCTGAAATAATTTAATTCAAAACTCAAAATTTATATCTCTCGTAGATTTTTTTTTTTTGTGTTATGTTTTTCAATCGGCTTCTTTTCTTTTTCTTTCCATATCATCGTATGTTTTTTAATATATTGGTTCATATATGGTAGCGAGCGAGATTTCTGGAACTTATCAGTTACTAATTAATTTATTGTGAATTTATCAGCTATAAATTTACTTTTATTTCCCACCCATTTATTAGATGTATTAATTAGGAGGATGGTATTTAATCGCTCATTTCAAACTCTACAACAATTCAAAAATTCAAAATCGCATATAAAAAATAATTATAATAATAACAATTAACGAGATATTAAAAGATTTTCCCCATAATTATGCAATCTTATAAAGATTTACCATCAAAGAAAAAGATCTGGAAGGAAAGGGAAAAACAAAAACAAAAATGAAAGATAGAGAGGAAGAAGATCATCCACACAGGAGACTGAAGCAACTCTTCAGCGACCTCGAGCAAGAGTGGGACGCCATGAAAACAGCCAAGAAAAGCTCCGTTTCAGATTCATCGATCACTGTCGCCATGGACCAGGCTCTCCGGTTTCTCGTTAACTCTCCGAGAAAGCTCATGCTTTGTCTCCAACAAGACAGACCCACCAGTCCTGAGCCGATGGAATCGCCCTTCATCAGGAGAAAACTACTCTTCGATGATAGTGATAAGGATAATGGTGAGAGCAGGGTGACATCAGCGTTATGCGACGATGACGACAGCAGAAGAATCGGGCCATTTCCGCGGGTTTCGAATGACTCGTCTTGGACGTCTTCGAATGTCTTGTGGGTTGGTGTTTGTTTCGCGGTTCTTTTAGTTTTGGCCGTGTTGATGAATGGATATGATCGGTCTGTAACCAAACAGACGATCACTCTGGTTCCTACTTGAAGAGACATTTCTGAGATTAGAGACATTTAATTCTTTTATCAATATTGGCGGACGCCCCTAATATTATTACTTATTAGAATTGATTTATATAAATTAGCACAAATTAATTTTATGTGATCATTAGAATATAAAACTTGTTATATCCATTTGGTTTAATGTGGGTCGGCTTAGTTTTAATATTTACTCGAATATACAAAGCTCCATGATATGAAAATCCTAAATCACAATTGGGCACAAATAATGTCGGTCTAACATTTAATGGAATCTGCATGTGATTATACCAAGGACGTTCTTTCATTTGAACAAGTACAAAATCCGTAGAATTCTATGTAACAAAATTTGCAAATAACCCATAGAAAAACCAAGATTGATTGATTCAATTGGTAAAAGCCGGAGTAAAACTTCTTTGCAATCCAAATTCGAGTCTCCACTTGAAGAGCAATATTTACATAGATTTTTTCAATTTCCTGAGAAATATAATTGAATCGACCGTATAAAAACTCAAGCTCAAGGAAGATATCAAGTTTTTCAAACCAACATTGAATATCCTAATGAAGATTAATATAAATGGACATATCCGAGATAGGTTCGATTTCGAAAATACCTAAAAAATGTACGTACATACCTCTTTATCTAAATCTACGTACAAAACATTCATCTAATATACGTCCGATATTTGATACTCGATTTTGCGATCATTATTAAATATCTTTGAAATATGAGAGAATTCACTTGACAAAGAATTTGTTTATTATAGAAATTTTGGCGTCAAAATTTAAAAATCGTCCAATATCATATGTGTTATATATTACTTATATATTTGTTATTTGTTTGAAGGAAACAAAGTCCTTTGCGAAAAGAAAAAATCCTTCGCGATTTCTTCGCCATCATTCATCTAATTAAGAGGATAAGACCCAAAAATATTGATTTGTTATTAGTTTTAGGATTTGTCTGTCAATATATATATGTATTTACAAGTGTGTGTGTATATATCAGTTCATTGATTTTGAGAAACTTTAAAGAAACTTCATACGAACTATATGCAGCCCACTTTTAATTACTTTGAACGTGCTAGAAACATATAATTAATCCCTTAATAATGTTTACTTTTTCACATCAGGCGAATTAATTTATAATCCAGCTAGCCATTTAATTAAGGCTTTAAACCATACCGTAAAATATTATCTTATGCTCTTCTTTTATATTTCCATAAAAAAAAACTGAACGGCGGATAGAAAATGGTCACCAAATCAGATTTTGGGTTTTGTAAAACAAAAAAGAAATAGAAAAAAAAGCAGTTAATAATTATAAAAAAAAAGGGTTCTCCCACCACATGGTCACAAAAGATAATTAAGTAAAATACACGTAAGCATACGATTAAATTAATCCATAGAGATAGAAAAGAATTATTCAATTACATCTTGTTATATGCATGCATTATATAAACTCGAGTCATCTATAAACCGTTTCATGTCTCGAATCAGAAAAATTCTTAAGCCCTAAGTTTCCTTCACCAAAAGGGAAAGCCCCACAAACATATCGCGATGAAGAAATCAAGAACCCGTCATCATAAGAAGCCCTTTCGCCATCGTCTCTATCGTCTGTTCTTGTACATTCTCGTCATAGTTTCTTGCGTTGTATTATCTCTGAACCCATTTCCCCTTCTCAAATTTCTCGCGGGTTTTGCCTTGCACGTCCCTAGGGTTTTCGCTTCTCTTCTAAAAACGAAACTTTTGTTCGTCATCACCAACGTTATAGTGATTGCCCTAGTTCGGGAGTCGAAGTTGTTCCGGTCGAAACCTTCCTCTCCATCAAGCGGCTCTTGTGACTCGCCGTCCGATGAACCCGATAAGCCATTTAAGGCGGATCTGCAAGAGGGTATCAAGAAGACAGATCTTGATGGTGGTGAAAGGACGAGGGAAAGCTTCCACGAGAGAAAGAAGCTCAGCCCGCTGCCAATGGAGGAACTAAACAAGAGGGCTGATGATCTGATTTCTAGGATAAATAGGCAGAGGAGGCTTGAAGCTTGGCTGTTATAGTGTAGTACATCGCATATAATATATATATATGTGGCAAAAAAAAACGAATAAAAGAAAAAAAATAAACTCAAGTATGAAAAAATAGAGTTATCTTGGTGGGAAAACAAAGAGGTGGAATTTTTTTTTAACCATCTTTCTGTAGTCATAGATTAAGTTCGATTTCTCATATTCTAATTAACGCCCGAATTATTACCAAAGTGATTGAGATACGTGGTTGTGATAAGTTAACAAATATTGAATACAATGTGATAATACTTGTTACGTATATACATATACGTATACATATTTATACATACAGATACATAAATATATACACGTGTATATATGTATGTGCATTTAGGTATGTCTATGTAACAATTTATGGGCTCATTTAAGTCGACAAAGTTTACGGCCTCAAGTAGTTTTCATGGGCCTAACTTCGAGCCCGACAGGTTATCAGCGATTTTAGTAGGCACAGTAAGAAATGGTTTTCATTTTCCATTTTTTTTTATTTCAAAAAAAAAAATCAATTGATTTTTTTTTGTTTGAAATTAAAAAAAAAAAATCATTTTGATTTTGACTTGAACGAACTTTTCAATTTTCTGAATCAAAATGGTCCCCCGGAAGGATTCTGAATTTTATGACAGAAATATAAACATATTATTACATTTCACAGATCATTATATATTTTTATTTCTTTTGACTTTTCCATATATTTCGTAAGTTAAATAACATTGAAATATATTTTTTTTATATAAAGTACACATACATGTAATTGTATTATATTCCTTATAAAATAAAGTGTTTCGGTACATTTTCATTTTTTTTAATATGTTAAAGTTTGCATGCTCGATATGGGACGTAATACAAATACGTGAAAAAAGACAAAATAACTTTTAAGCCGCACATCTCTTGTCCCCCAACATGCTCGACCCCCCTTTGCCCATTTCTCAAATTATTTTCAGCAAACCAAGAAATCACAAATTCTGAATTTTTAAATTAAAAAAGATGAAACAAGAAAATCTTTTTAAAATAAAAAATAAAAGAAAGGGGAACCCTATCTCGAATGGCATGTGAGGCATAAGGAATCTCATGGACACAACATAACCCTTTATGTGTAGTCAAATGGATACATAATGGTTTCCACTATTAGTGCTTTCTGTATTAATATTTTTGTGTGTGTATGTATGTGTGTATATATATATATATATATGCCATTAGGACATTAATGGCAAGTGTATGTTGTTAATTGCTTGTTGTATAGGATATGTATAGCATGCTTATCCATAGACGTGGATTATCTACACACATAGCTGTAATTATTTAAAATTAATTTAATTTTATGTATCTTTTTAACAAACATAAATTTATATACAAATAAAAAAATTAGTTTAAGTTATTAATTTTATATTTTTAAAATTTATAGAAAAGTTTAACTTGACAAAATTGAGTTGAAACCAAATAAAAAAAATGTGCCGTTAAATTTTTTTGGGATTTTTTAAATCTCTATGTACAAATTACAATACAGCGATACATGGTGAATACATCTGTCCATTATTATCAACTGATTTGAACGAAACAAAAAAAAAAAACCCTAAAATTCATTGCTTTCAGTTATTATATAAAGCCTCTTAATTTCTAAAATTAGCCCCAAATTAAAACAGGAGAGTAGGTTAAATTAAAGACACACAATTAAAGTGTAAATATAAATAATAACCAAAAACGCCTTGACCACCGACGCATTTATTGAATTACAAAAATACCCCTGGCACCGACGTGTTATTACATCAGGGTACAGGCATTTGGGTTCTCGTCGCTGAAGATCTGAGGCGGATACGCGTGCATATTCTCCATCGTGTACCTCGGCGGATGATAACTATAATAATATTCGTTCCTCTTCGTCTCCACCACTTTTCCGGCCTCCTCCGCCGTAGATCCGCCACCTTCCGCCGCCGGCTTGGCCTCTCCGCCGCCGTCGGAGGAATCTTTGGCTTGATCTTCTTGCTTTGTCGTCTCTTCTTGTTTCTTTCCGTCCGTTTTCTTCTTCTCGTCCTCTTTCTCTTTGGTCTCTTTGTCTTTTTCCGGCGGCGGATCTTGCTTGACCACGGCGGCGTGTTTGCCGGTTCTTCTGTATATGTCTTCGACCAACTTCGCCGGAGAGAAAACTCCTCTGACGCTCACCTGTGACGCCTTGTAATCTGGCTCCGCACTCTCCACTCCTGCAAAATATTTTAAAGTGTATTATTTATTTACTTGTTGTAGAAAAATATTTTATCACCAATCCAGTTTCCTTGATACTATATATTATTATCACCCTGTTATTAATTAGAAACATGCGACAAAACTTACAGCAATTGACTCACTTGCTTATGAATTATGAATATATATATATATATATATATATCATGTGTAATACGCAAATCCAATTAATTGCGGAGCTATGGTATTTCATGAAATGGCAAAAGCCAAGTCAAAGAAGAAAAATTTTACCCCAAAAAAAATGTTAAACCAAGAATTAAATAAATGTTTTTTTTTTGGAAAAACAACTCGTTATATAAGGAAAAAACGCGAAATTTAGATAAATTTCACCAGTAGGAGGGGCGCAATTAACTTTCTAATTATCAAAATTAACTTTCTAATTATAAATATATATATATATATATATATATATATATAATGTGTTTTTGGAGCAGTAAGATTCTTTGCAAATCCGAGGAGTGGTACAAAAGGATTTGACCTCGTTGGACCGCCCATCTTAACCAAATCTTAAATAAATCTTGGATTTCCAAAACACTATTCTTTTTCCCCAAAAACAAGGTTGGTGAAAGCAATTATTTTTGGGCGCCAATTAAGATCATTAATTACCATGCTTTATTGAAAAAGTAATACAAATAACTGTAAAATAAAACGTGGAGCTAAATTCAATCTAAAAACTTTTAGTCAATCACATTAGACTAAATCTAAAACTAAAAACAAAATCAGATTATCTAAATTCAAATATATAAAAACAATAGAAAAATGAATTTCAAAACGAATTTTTTTAAAAAAAATTAAATATTTGTTTTCAAATACTCAAAATTTTTATCCCAAAAATAAAAGAATCGACCAAGACATATTAATATTTTATCTGTTTGCGCTTCTGAGGAGGAAAAAGTACCGATGAGGAAAAAATGAAAGAGGGAATAAAATAATACGAAATTAGGGAAAATCCAAAGTTTGATAATTCCATATACAAATGATGAAACCATGTACGTATTTTTTCAGATTCAAGAGTCACGCATAATTTTTTTTATAAAAAAAAAACATATGATAGATAACAACAACTCACTCATCAATGAAAAATGATGCTGGGGATGTTATTATTTTTTCTATATGAAAAGTGAAAAAGAACAAACCTTTCATTCTCATGATTCTCTTTTGGATCTCCATGGCACATGCTTCACAATGCATGTGAACTCTCAACACCACTGTCACTACCTATGGCCCAATCCCCCAAACAAACAAAAAATGTGATTAGAAAATGTTGGGGTTCTGTTCATTTCAATTTCAAAGCATTTGGAATTAGGGTTTTGATTTTCATGGCACATGCAAAAAATGATCGATACCTCATCCTTTTTCTCCTCGGCTTTAGGTTTCTCGTCTCCGGTGGACTTCTCCTTCGGTTCCTCGGCCGGTTTCGGCTCCGGGATCGGAGAAAGAAGCTCCACTTGACGGTTGCTCTTCCTCTGCAATCTCTCCAACACCTTCAATGGATCTGCTTTGTCTCCTTTCACAATGACCTTACTAGTTCTACAATCCGTCATTACATCATCAACCCCTGTCCATTTTACACGTTTGTTTTGTCGGAATGTCTACAAAACCGGGGCTGTAAAGTTCATACAAAACCCACAAATCTCGGAATTGGATTAGGGTTTCTAATCACTATGAATTCTTGTTTCCAACTCTCATTCTATAACTTAACAAAGATTTGGTCATGACCCATTAGACGAAACCCATCAATGAACCACCCAATCGAAGCAAAACGTACGACTGCAAGACTTGTGAATGACAAAATCTCAGTGGATTTTTTTCCTGTACGTACGTACCTTCGAATCCTTTTAGACACCGACGAACTTTTTTGGCGCAGCCTTCGCAGTGCATGTAAATCTTAAGAACAATCTCCTGAGGCTTCTTCTCCTCTTCCTTCGGATCTTTCTCCGGTGACTTCTCTTCGGGTTTCTTGCCGGATTCTTCTCCTTCTTCCGATTTCTTCTCCTCCATTTTCTTCTCTTCCTGTGAACCGAAACCAAACACAGAAAGGAAAAGATTGATTTTTTTTTTTATCACTTCAAAGAAAAAAAGAATGAGATTGTTAACAAAGATGTTTGTAAATCAACGGACCTCTCCCATTGATTTTAGTGTCCCTGTGAAGCTTTAGTGGCTGAGACAAAGCTTTCTTCTGCAACTCTCTCTCTATGGACCATCAGATATGTAACGAAATTGCAGCTTTGGAGTACATTTATACACAGGACGGTCCAATTCATTATTGCCCATGAAATATTTTCAGAAAAAGTTCTTTAATTTTTGTTCCATCATTATTATTACTAAGTCTGTTTTCTATATTTAATATTTCAAAGTACAGTAAAATCAAAGAACTCCTTGAAAGTGGTTGCAGGCAGCGACCATTAGGGTTTGTTCTGTCAACTTTTTTTCTTTTGAATTTTTTGCAACTTTTTATTTTTTTTGAAATTTATGACATTGGCAGAGAGAGAGAGAGAGTGAGAGAGAGAGAGAGAGAGAGAGAGAGAGAGAGTCACATGCAAGTGTCTTTGCGTAAATTCTGTGCAGTACATGACGTGGATTTTTTTATAACGAGGAAAGTGCACAGGAGGGAGACAAAAAAAAAAGGTTAGAAAATCTTAAACTTGAGGACGATGATCATCATCATATGTATTAAATAAAAACAATGCATCAAAACTATATATTAAAATATTACAATACTAGTACGGTACTGCCCCTTTTAGTGGTGTCCCATATATGTCGTTGGTCTATATTTATGTTTATCTATTAGATTAGATTTGAATTCAAATTTTTGGGAAAAACAAAATAGAGTCTAACGTAATTAATTACGTTCGTATTGTATTAATTCATTCAACCACGTGCCTCTCCTTGATACTTAAAGTTTGTATTGAAAAGCGCTAGAAATGAGCATCACTATATATACATAGATACACACATATTCATGTAAATATGCATATTTGGAAGTCACTTGCAAATAAACATATATACAAAATATTCTAACTTATCCGAAAATCAATTATACGGTGGGTATTAGGGATGGATATATTTTTTTTTTTTGGTTGTTCTTCGGTTCGGTTATTTTAGAATTTAGTTTTTCCAATTTTTTATCCGTTTTTCAGTTCCATTTGGATTTTTATTTGAGTCTAGTTTTCGTTTAAAGAATATTCATTTTCGGTATAAATTTTTGTCAAATTTGATTAGAGTTTTGTTCGATTAATTTGATTTAAAAATAATATACGATCAATTTTTAGATATAATTCAATTCGAATTCAATTGTTGTTATTTAACTCGTTCTGGATTTAAATATTTTTTATGAAAATATAATATTCCTCTGTCTAATATAATAATCCCAGAATACTAAGATGAGTTCGGATCCATAGCAGTTGGGTTCGATTATACATTGTCATAGATTGTCCCAATCAAATTAATTCATTAATTATTTATTTGTTTACGAGTTTAGTTAATGGGTCAAAAACTTGTCGGAATTAGCTCGCACGCTTTGGCTATTACGGGAGAAAGCCGACGAAAGGAGGGGAGGGCTTATTCGGGTTTTAGTTTGGGATCGGATTCGATTATTTCGTTTTTGAAATAATTATAATTAACCGCTTAATTTTTATATTGAATTCGGTTCTCTTTGTTATGATATATTCGGTTCAATCATGATAATACTTATTTTAAATAAAAAATTTTGTTTTTTCGATTATCTTTTCGTTAGAATTTTTTTTAACAAAAACTAAAACAAGTCTATGGAATTCGGTAATATCCGGTTCACTTACGATGAAAATAATCATTTTTTTAAAATACGGTTTTTAGATATTTTTTATTCGGTTTGGTTTGAATTTAGATTTGATTCTATATCTAATTCGTTTCGATTATTATTATGTATTATTCGATTCCATTATTCAATTATTAACCAAATAAGCCATATCCATACCCATACGAAATCCAACACCAAGAAGAAATTTGGTTCTACAAATGCAATTATTTGTCATTCACCACAATTATCACAATATTCTAATCTCGGTTTTATTTTATATATATATAAGACATTTAGCTTGTTGGGTTGGGCTTAGGTACGCTACCACATGTATAAAAATTAAAGTAATTAATTGGTTTTGGGCTCAGACCATCTTACAAAACAAACGAACTCATAAGATAAATCCCAAATGCATGAAATTTGTCACAACCAAAAAATCTATATCACATTTCGTTCTTTCATACAACTATTTCAGACTTTTAAAATGTTGTTGAATTTCCTCTGAAATAATAATGATAACGTTAAAATACATATGGTATTTATATATTGAAACTTTTGAAAAATATAGATAATATTGAAAATTTAATATTTATTTTAAAATTTTATAATATATATATATATATATATATAT